AGAAGGGCAGGGTGGGGCAGGAGAGAGCGGGTCTAAGAGCGAGCAGAGGGCCGCGAAAAGCAGGCCCGAGGCTGGTGCCGTAGCGAGCCTGGGGCTCAGGCCGGCCGCGGGGTGCAGGCTGCTATGGGGCTGGGGGGATACCGTGGCTTGGCTCTGAGTGGTCACCAGGGGAAGGGAGCTGGTGTTCGTGGTGGCCTTCTAGTGGGTACAGAACAAGGCTGGGCCCTGGGCCGAGGAGGCCCACTGGGAAGCGCCTCCAAGCTGAGGCAGAGGTGGCATTCGGTGCAGAGAGGCGACCCAGGGATGGCTTCTGAGACCCAGGCCTGGCACAGCCGAGGCACTGGGCACGTGGCGTCCACTGGGGTGCTCGAGGACAAGCAAAGGGCAGCGAGTAGAGTTGGGGACCATGTGTCCCCAAGGAAAGGGGATGAGACCTTTTCAAACCTGCCGGCTTGATAATAGAGCCCATCTTGGAGTTTCGAGGAGTAACTCCCCTAGTGGGGAGTGGATCCCGAAAGGGAACAGTGGTTCGGAGGCCAGCCAGGGGGAGAGAGCTTGAGGGAGGATGGTCGAGGGACAGTTATGAAAGAAAGTCGCAGAATTCAACCTGAGGTGAGGGGGACTAAGTGACCAACACCTGGGACTGGGAAAGTAGCTTAGAAAACACACACACACATGCACGCGCACACACACACACACACACACGCACACACGCACACACGCACACACGCCTGACAGGCCTTGCTTTGCAGCGAAGACAGGGGCACGGTCTAACAAATAGTTGTTGCTCTTAGAAATGGTGTTTCCTCGTCCTTCTTCCCAGGTCTCCTCAGTGAGACGAGGCGGATCTGGTAAGTTGGGCAATAGCAGGCATCCAGGGGCACCCTTGTCCCTGGTTCCCGGGCCCCCACTGAAAACCGCCCGGGAAAGCCAGGACCGATCCCGCCTGCAGGGCCACAAGTCTGCCCAGGGACGGTCAGTCAATCAGGGGAGAGAGGAGTCTCTAGGAGGAGGACTAGGGCTGGGCCCCAAGCTGCAAGGGACAGAGAGCTCACGGAAGTCAGGAGCTCCTCGCAGCCTCCGGGAGTCTGTCTACCCCAGAGGGGAGACGATAAGATAATCTCTCCTTCCGAGAGCTGGGGACCGTTCAGAAGATGCCTTTTACCCTTCCAGCAAAATGGAAGCAGGTCCTTCCTAAATTTTCTTTCGGGCTGAAATCAGTAAAACAGACTCCACTTACACCTGCAATATTAGATCATTAATACTGCGGATTTTCTCATTATGACCTGGGCGGCCTTGGCGGGCTTGGCAGAGAGGAGTCGGCTATCCCATCCAAAGGGAGGGCTCCCGTTGACCTCCGCACTGGCCACCGCGATTCTGTCCCCCACCTTGGCTGAGATTCTCGCCAAGTCTCACCTCCCCAGAACGACTTCTTTCCTCTGTAACTGGTTCTCCCAGCCCATAAACTTCTCAAACTTCTAGGTTCAGGTACCTGAAAGGTTTAAAGAAACGGTTCTTTAACACTGTCAGGAATTCAGTGGCTAGGGGGGGAGTCTGGCCCGTGAAGGAGGTGGGGGGGCGGGTGTTAGATCAGGCGCAGTGAGGGAGAGGAAAGAGGAACAGGTCATAAAACAAGCAGACCTGCTCCTAGGAGGACGATGCATCCCGCTGTCATTTCTTAATCTGAACTTCTGCAAACTCTTAAAAAAAAAAAGCGCCTGCCTTCCACGTTCCCAGCCTCTAAATTAGTGAAACCAGATTGTCCTAATAAGACCTTTTGTTGGAAACACATGTAGTCATAAAAAGGTAGACGGAAAGTCAATTAGACACGCGCGCGCGCGCACACGCACACACACAGCCGGCGCTAAGCGTGCACCGGGAGCAGCTGGGCCCCGGCCGGGCAGGATGCAAATGCAGCACAGCCGCGCGGGAAATTGATTTGTCACAAAGCGAGAGGTGTAAACGCGGTGCGCAGGACTTGCCCGCGGAATTCCCCGCCACTCTTCCCGGGCCCAGCTCGGCCAATGCCTCCTCGCCAGAGAAATGCCCAGGGGAGGAGGGACGTTCTCTAGGGCGCTCGGTAGTTGCCGTTTGCACCAGAATATCAGTGTCTCTGGAATCTCAGCGTTCGCAACACCTATGGCGCCAGAAATTTTCTTCGCGGTGCCACCCTGGGACGCTGGAGCCGGTGACGGCACTCTGAAATTGGGCCTCAATTATTTCGACTCAAGAGGGAGTCGGGATAATTTTATCGTTTTAAGGGTAGCCTGGAAAAAATATTCTCTTTATAGGAGGCAGTGAAATCCAAGATCAAGGGGAGTCACTGAGTCCCCGAAGTCCAAAGTCAGATCCAGGGAAGTGGCGAGTCGTGTTATCCGACATGCAGGGGCAGGGGTTGGACGGCCTCCTTCTCCTAATCGTTTGGGAGAATTGACAGTCTAGTGACTCCCCCCACTCTGGAGCGAGGGAAGGGAGGTGGGCCTGCGAAGTCCGAGGCCCCACGCTGCCCAAACTCCCTGGGGCTCCAGATCCCCCGACTCCTGGAAGCAGCCAGTCACCGCCTCCGCGGTCATTTCTCCCTTCCAAAACCCGAGCGCCTTTCCTGCGCTTGCGGCATCGCGCAGCCAGCCCTTGGGCTCGGCGACCTCAGCCTGCCCCTGAGCGCTCAGGTCAGAGCAGGCAGCGGTGGGTCACACGGGTCCCTGCGGTTCCTCAGTCTTCCCAGGGCCGTCCTTTAAGATTTTACAACCCGAGTGAATAACTCATCTCCAGACTAACAAGATGTCACCCACCCACCCCGCCCCCCCACGAAAACTCCCCAGCAACTTCAGGACCAACGATATCTTCCTACCTCTACTGGCTCAGATCTGAGTTTGGAACGTCGCTCCCCGCCAGCCGCCACCTCCGGGACCCCTTTTTCACATTTAAATGACATCTGTAGATGTTCAACAACGAAGATCCCTTAACCAATATGATTTTTATTTTGAAAGATGTGTTTCCCTTACAGTTCCTCTTCTATACCCTGTTTACTTGCTCCCTTCTTCTGCAGGGCACCCCACCAAAGCAGACCCCCAGCTCTAGGAGGCCACCTCCATCGCCAAGGGCGCAGGCTGCGGGTACCAGGAATTTGCAAATCTGTGTGCGCGCTGGTGCTGGTGCGGTGTCCCCCGCGTGCCT